AAATAGTTAAAAAAAAAAAAAAAAGGGTAATATTTACTTGTTTGTTCAACCGCTATGATTTAGTGTTCTAGATGTTTTTCAGTGATCCAATGAGATATCTTGATCCGATCCATGAGATTTGAATGGGGATAACAAACATTGTTTTGGTTGTCATCAACAATCAACTAACTATTTAAATAAGTGAAATTGTATAGTGAATATCGATTATTTCATAGTGAAAATCCCACCATTTCTACGACTTATATATAAGTAAACGTACGCAACTAGGAAATAGTGAAATTGGCTGTGACGTATAATATACTCAAATAATAAAATTCAACTACAAAAAAGGAAATAAAATCACTATTTGAACAGTGTACAATGTGTTGTATGACTATTTTACATTTACAGATAATCCGAAGGTAAAAAAAGAGTAATTATTTGCAGTACCCAATCGACACTGAAAAAAAAAAAAAATCAAGGGCAACTCGCGAATGCCCTAATTGAAGTTAAAACCCCACTTTCAAAATGTACACTCTCCATGAATTGTACACGAGTCCCTTTCCCTCCCCCTATTTGGCCCTCGAATCGACACGAAAACGTAATTTCACCCAACCAACGACGAATGAGGGCTTTTATTGTTTTTTAAACCTACAGCCAAAGGGTGTTATAACGAGGTGGGGCTGCCGAAACGCCCCCCCCCCCCTCGAAGGCCGAGCAGGATTGATTTTCTCCCTCCTCCTTCTCTCGAGGGTTAAAACAGTTCTTTCCGCTGTTGCGCTCCGTCTCTAACACCGATGGACGCTTATACCGAGAAAACTAAAAAATACACGTGGTACAAAAAATTTGCCCCCGCAAAGCGACCCATGGAGCATACATACCGGGCAAATGAGGGGGAGGGAGTCCAAGATCCGCCCCCGCTGACGAGACGATGCTGTGTGTAAATATCTGTCGAGAGTAGGGGGTGGGGGTAAGAGCGGCGTTTTTTTGTCGGGACTCGCATGGATGGATAATGATGAGGTAGACGAGGTGCTGACGCAAGGGGGAGAACCGTCGTTTGCTCTCGTATTTATCTAGTCGCTTGGATTTACACTCAAATGTATAATATCTTTGGCTCATGAAAAAAAAAAAAAAAAAAAACGAGACGCCGAAGGGTATAATATAATACATGTGTACTCTCGTTTGCGTTTCAGGTACGCCAAAACAGTGGTAGACTCGAGCTTGATCTCGCAACGTTACAACCCTGAATTCACCTTCCAAGCCGGTGGCCCCGGCGCGGGTAACAAGGGCTACCCCAGCGCCAACACCAGCGTCCTCATCGACCAGCTACGACACATCAGCCAGGTATGCTTTCGAGTTTTTTTTAAATCCCCGCGATAAGCCAAACTTGGTTTTTTTTCTTAAGAATAACGAAAAAGTACCCAATGGCACCGTAATCGATTGACGTGCACGGGATCTCCTTGCGCCCGAACTAAAAAATTCCAACGACAAAACAAGAGGAGTTTCGCTTCCATTTTCAAATTTTCTTATAGTCACGCATTGTTAACCTGAACGCACGGCGATCGTCAAAAGGTCACTCGTGCAAGACTGCACACACCATACTGATCTCTATCTCTCGAGCTCGGGATCCCTTTAACGATTCTTCCCTGTTACACGCGCATCGGGTGCCTATTTATGTGTGCTCGAACAACGAAAGAAGAAAAAAAAAAAAAAAAAAAAAAAGAAAGAGCCAGAGGACGCGTGTCTAACCGAGCGCGCGTCCTCTCCTCCTCCAAAACACGAGATCTAGGGAGATAGGACGCCGGGTAGTCCTGCGGAAGGAGCGACTCGATGGCGCTTATTGTTACGTGACGATGATGCGTGTGTATATACTTATATACATACATACAACCATCTCCGTTTTGTATATTATCACCACGACGAATCTATACTCATGTCGTAGGTATATAGGTACATACGCGGTGTCTTTTCTCTCTCGTCGACATGTGTATGCCCCTGCGAGTGTGTGGGCGTACATTATTGTTATTACCTTTGCATGATTTCGGAGTACCGTTTTCGGGGAAGAAACAACCTGATAAGTACGCAGCGTCAAAGTTGCAATTCAGCTCGTCCGGGAAATAAAAGGAACAATCATCATCGATGTAACGTTGTCCCCCCGATACCGGTATCATGGCTCTTTTTTTGGGGATCGGCGACGGCGCCGATAATAGAAACTCCTCGTCGCGTGGTATATGTATATGGGTACAAATAACGAGACCATTGCGACGTAAGTATCGAAGTATATAATATACGTGTGGGAAGCGGGAGAGAGAGCCGCATCGGCGGCGCAGCCGGAAACGATACGATCGCGTCGTCGTCGGGTCGCCCCTTCCTTCGGATTTATCTCTTCATTCGGAAACCCTTTTTCCTTTGCTGGGATCGAGCGAGGAGTCGTGTCATCGCTGAGCACGGTGAGGTACCCTGACGGGGCTCCTCGCCGCTGAGATCGCGTCGAGCTGGAGATACCGATTTTTTTGCAATAATGGGCGACGCTGTGGCTGATGATGATAGCGGTGCGCGTGGGTTCAAGACTTTTCGATCTTGGCTCCTTTTTTTTTTTTTTACACCTATGAGCTTACTCACATCGCTGTTTACTAAAATTATACTATACCGATTTCGCGAGCAATGTAGGCATACCACCGATTCCGTTTGAATATCGCTAATCTAAGGCACACCCGCGAGAGTTCGAAGTGAACGATAAATGCTATGTGTTCGCCAATTCGCGGTTCGCGGCTAATTGGTCTTCTCTCTCCTTCTGGTGAAATACAAATCGGCAACCCCCTGCGTTATTGTACAGTTTTAGTGCAAAGGTGTTGAATCGTGCAAAATATTTTATTCATGACGTTCTAAAGGTTTTTTCATACTTCAACTACAACGAAATGTATTGTAGTGTTTTTTTCAATCCAAGACATAAATTTTGGGCCAAAGAAGATTTTTCTCGAGTATAACTGGTAGTTGAATGGTTGAAAGATCGAAAATTATCTCCCATAATTATTCAAACAGTAATCAACAACTCTTTGGTATAAATTTCAATAAATTTTGGATTTCGCAAAAGCAAAACATCTAACGAGACTGTAATTCTAAGCTAGACACACACACGGCAAACAAAAAGCCGTGAAGCAACTAACGCGACAATTTGCCAATTTCCAGCTGGTGCAAGCCCAAACGATGTCAGCCCCGGATCCAGGAGTCCTGCTAGCCGACGAGGCACTCGAGGGCTCGGGCAGTGGTGACCGGCCGCTCTACGGTAGACGGCCCGACGACGACGAGGACGCCGAGGACGCCGAGGACGACGACCGCGACGACGGCGAGGCCTCGGGCTCCGGCTCCGGACCGTCCATCATCGGTAAGAGCAATCGGCACTGCATGTACATGTACACACATATGCATACCTCCCGCAACGCAGCTTCATCGAATGTTGTTATTGTTGTTCTAGACCAAATAACCCCCGACACAGGCGAGATAGAGTCCAAGGGTGCTGGCTCGCGACTCGGCCTCAACCTCGGCTTGGCCGTTCTCACGCTCGTCTTGGCCCTCGCGGCCGATGTCTAACCGAGAGGATGTCACTACTCGCACCGCGGGATCCATCATTAGATATGAGACACGGCGTGTGTATACCCACACGCGAAGGAAATGACCAATCAATTGGCACTGTGTCGTTTGCAAGAGCACACGGGCTGGTGGTGGAGGGAGTCGAGAGAAAATCCCCAAGTGGAGGAAACGATGAAAAANATGAACGACGGGATCCGACTGTTTAGCTGGTGGGATCCGAAGTTTTGGCAATTTGTTATCAAGGGGGGTGGGGGCAGGAAAAACAAGCTCCTTCGCTTCGTCCCTAAAAAAAATAGATCCCCTCATCTTTTCGGCTCGTTTTTTTTTTTTTTTTTTTTTTTCTGTCCCCTACATTGCTGCGGCGAGTTTTCACGCTATCGCGATCGAAACGCCGGGAAAAAAAAAATATAATATGGCCAAGGCTCGTGATTGCAATTAGGAAACAAAGCGATGGGGTTACTGAAACCTACCAGGGGACGCGACCTCCCGAAGGACACGTGGATTTTCTGCCGGACGACTATGGGTTGTTACATGTATAGGTGTGCGCGCGAGCGTGTTCGTGTGTGTGTGCAAATACGGGCTCGGACGATATATCCCTAGTTTTATTTTTCTTAGGGTGCGACGATGCCTGTATTAAGTATACAAGATGACTGTCCGCTCCCTCTCTCTCTCTCTCTCTCGCCTCTGCGATATTGTTTCTCTTCAACTATTGTGTACCCATGGCTTTTTTTTTGTTTTTTTACTACTAATTATTATTACTTATTTTATTACTGCCACATATATATATATATATATACTGTCGCTCTCACTTTACAAACGCGAAAGGAAGTTAATCATCGCTATACTCCTCTCTTTTTCTATCGTAGTCACTGCTCAGTGCTACTACTATATTATTCATTATTGTTTGTACACACAACTATTGAAAAAAAACAAAAAAAAACAAAAAAAAAAAAGAAAAACTCAAAGGGGGAGAGAAAAAGAGCAAGGGCGGCTAATAGACGCGGGGGCTCGGGAAAAGGGTTCCTCCCCCCCGGCTTCTTCAAAGAGGCTGCACGGCACTGTGCGTGTATAGGTATAT